TTTAAATTCTCCAATTATAAATTTATATTTACCGTTAATCTCTCCCCCATCCACATCAACAGCTAAAAATATATGTATAATAAAATTTTTTGATTATAATACCTGGATTGTTGACTACAACATTTTCCTGAACATTATTGTTGTCATCCTCAACAACTTGTGGGGTACTACAACAATTCCCACAATTTACAATTTTAATAATAAAAGTTAAAAATATAAATAATTTTAATAACATTTTTTTAAATTGAAAATTTTCTTTGATTTCTAAAAAATTAAAAAAGAATTTTTTTGGCATTATTACAAACTTAAAAATAATTTCACACAACTTTCTCGACGTAAAATTACTTCCAACAGGTATCGAACCTCATTCACCAAATAATTACTGTCACATCTAAACAATTTATTTATTCAGGGCAGGATATAGAAAACTGCACCCAGTAGCCAATCAACCAAAAAAAGTGTACAACAAATGCTCCGAATCTTTTACTGATTTGAGGGACTTTTTATCTTAATTTAATTTCTTTAAATAATTTCAAATAAACAATTTTTATGGCAGAATAAAAAATTAATTTACTATTAATAGAGTGAGAGAAGAAGATTTTTTAAAAAATTTAAATTTACTCCCCCCCCCCCCACATCACACCCAAATTCCCCTCTTCTCTCTCTCTTTATCCGTCTTTTCTTATAAAAATATTTAATTTAAAAGCGGCTCGACTTTTTCCAGTGAAAATATTTGAAAAATATAAATTGATTAAATTGATTGTTTAAATAAAGTCTTAAGAAAGTCCTAGTCTTAAATATTTAAGACCCCTCTGTCATTGCGCCGCTATTTTAGAAAAATACAAAAATTGATTTTTTGGGTAATTTTATTTAGAAATAATTTAATTTAGAAAAATATTGACGGAAAAACTTTAAAAAAACATAGATAAACACCCCTCAGATTCGAACCTTCCCACAAAACATGTTGATGTACAACCATTTAAGCCACTTAACCAATTTGGTCGGCAAGAGAGAGATTAAGAGGATTTGACAATCAGAATCTACGAAAAATTCCCGATTAAATTTTTTGTTTTGGCGGGGATTAAAAATAAAAATTTAAATAAATTTTTGTTTATTTTTTTATTCAAAATTAAAATCCAATTTATTTTTGAGAATTTTTCTATCAAAAATTATTTATATAATCTTTTGTTCTCCTAAACTGTCGGCACTATTTTTTTATTTTTTACCTCTTTCAAATTTTCTTTTTTTAATTAAATACCGCGACAATTGTTATTGGCACTTTAAAAATTGGATTATTAAAATGCCGGTATTAAACAAAATTTTTGGAGAGAATAAATAAATAAATAATTAAGTAACCCTCTAATTTTTTAGAAAATAATTTGTTTGGATTTTTTTTTGAAAAATTCTCTGGATTTAAACAAACAAAAGGGAAGGATTACCCTTTAGAGAAGAAAAGAAACGTTTTATTAAAAATACAAACAAAACGGCCCTATCCCAATATAAGGGCGGAATCGTTTTTTTCCATTACTTTTCATTACTTTATAAAAAAGGTCAATTTTCCTTAAAGTTGATGTATGTTGATGTTTGCCTTAAGGAAGAATGGAGGACAGACAATGACAGAAACACGGACGTGTACGTCCGTTTTTGTCTGTCCGAGTCTGCCCGTATTTATCAGTCCGTGCTCGTCCGTGTTTTGTTTGTCCGAGTCTGTCCATGTTTTCCGCCCTTATATTTGGATAGGGTCAACAAAACTATATTCCAAACTTTTTTTTCTTTTTGGAGGTCATTTAAAGTAGATCATCCAATTACAGTAGTCGACAAAAAGATAGGGACAAACGCATGTAAAATGAAAATCGCCTATTTTCTCAGCTAAAAATCGATTTATGAAAAAATTTTTTGTTTGATTAAATACGCCATTTAATGCTCTATTTAATGAGTATAAGATTTGGCGTATTATTATTTTCTGATATACTGAAATAATTGAAATAAAAAAGTACTGCAAATTTAAGCCCGACAAAAAGATAGGGACAAGTCTTGTAACTAAGTAGTCACCCAACCAGTAAATCTACAAAAATTTGTACAAACATAATGATCGATACTAAGATAAAATAAAAAAGAACTAGGTCCATATCTCATTTCAATGTCGAGATCTCGATACCTCAAAAATCAACGTAAAACAGGGGTAAGCAACTTCAAAAAATATTTTCGCACACTTATGGATTTTTTAAAATTTTCATTTTAAGCCTATTCGATAGCTCTTGAAATTTGCTATAAAATAGCCAAATTTCATTTTTGAGAAAAAAATATTTCGTTAGTTGCAGAGGCGAATGTTACAAAAAGCAACAAACACCCCATAAATTCCCTCATAAATGGCGTTTTGTAGAATCGTCGTCTTTTATCTCGAAAGTGAAATTTTTTTGAATAATGAAATTTGGCTATTTTATAGCAAATTTCATGGGCTATCGATTGAGCCTAAAATAAAAATTTAAAACAATCGATAAGGGGTCGGCAAAAAATTTTGAAGTTGAAAATCCCTATTTTACGTTGATTTTTGGGGTATCGAGATCTCGACAACGAAATGAGATATGGACCTAGTTCTCTTTTATTTCTTCTTAATATCGATCAATATGCTTACACAAAATTTTGTAGATTTTTTGCTTCTATGAGAACTTAGTTACAAGACTTGTCCCTATCTTTTTGTCGCGCTTAAAATAGCATACCTTTTGTTTTTCAATTAGGGTTGAATTTTATAAAAAATTAACCAGGCAAATTTTCTACTCATTAAATAGAGCATTAAATGGAGTATTTAATCAATCAAAAAATTTTTCCTAAAATCGATTTTTAACCGAGAAAATAGGTGATTTTCATTTTAATTGCGTTTGTCCCTATCTTTTTGTCGACTACTGTATGTTTTTGTTATGAAAAGAAAAAATAAAACCGACAATAAATAATAGAAAAATAATTGTGTCAAAAAGGAGGGAAAATTATTTGTTGTTAAACAAACAAATAAAATAATTAAACTTGTTTGTTTAATAAATTAAAGTTGTTTTTAATGAAAAAACATGTTTTTATAATTGTTTGAAAGTTTTAAAACGGCTCCCATACAAAATACCGAATTCTTAAAATATGGAATCTCAAAATCGCGAATCGTCTAAAAAAGCTCAAAATATGGAATCTCAAAATATCGAATCTCAAAATATGGAATCCCAAAATATCGAATCGGCCAAAAAAGCTCAAAATATCGACAATGCGGCAAAAGCCAGTTGAGTCTGAACAATTTTATCAACAACTTCGAAAAAAATTAAAAATATGCAAAAGGGTTTTTCTAGGGTAAAAAAATATGCTGATTACGAATCTGAGCTCGGATTTTGAAAAAGTCGAATCCCAGACCCGAACCGAGCTTCGAATCCCGAACCCAATTTCGATTTTCCGAATGATAGCTCATTTGAAAGAGCACGTCGAGCTGCATCGACTGACACCAAAATCAATGAAATCCGACTTTATTGGACTGAGATACAGACCCCTGAAAAACTGAAAAAGACCTGCACTCAATTGGCGGCACTCAAACGGCCCTTTTCGTTTTTAAAAAATTCGACATTTTTAACTACTTTTTAGCCGATTCGGTATTTTGAGCATTTTAGCCTATTCGAGATTTTGAGATTCGATATTTTAAGATTCCATATTTTGAGCTTTTTTGGCCGATTCCATATTTTGAGATATTTTTCCCGATTCGGTATTTTGAGTTTTTTTAGCCGATTCGCAATTTTGAGAATTCGGTATTTTGTGCGGGCACGTTTAAAACATTTTTATTGAAAACAAGATAAAATTAAAGAAACAAAGTTTGTTTTGAATTTTTGTTTAAAAACATTGTTTTTGAACAAAACGAATATTTGTTTTAAAGTTTGAACATTAAAGTTTGTTTAAACAAGTTTATTTAATTAAATAATAAAACTTAAGTTAATAAATGTTTTGTTTAAAAGTTTAGGTTTATTTTTAAAACAAGTTTAATTAAAACTTTTTTGTTTAAAAACAAGTTTATTTAAAACATTTTATCAAAACAAGTTTAATAAAGTTAAGTTTTTAAGTTTTTAAAGTTTTTAAAAGGTTTATATAAGTTTTTAAATGTTTTTAATAAAATGTTTTCTTTAAAATGCTTAAAACAATTTCAGTTTCTTTATTCTGTTCTAAACTTTTTACCTGTTGTTATTACTTGTGGAAGGATTGTTGTTTGTATTATTGTTGTAGCAGAAAGGAAGAAACATTTGGGTTACAAAAGGGACTTAATATTTTTAAAAAATTAAAAAAAATATTTTTTTCTAACCAATATTTTGGTGTTTTTGGGGTAATAAAGACGTTGATGATTGCTGATCTGTATTTGTTCCTGAGGCGTCAGAAAAAGGAGAGGATGACATTTCATCCCTTTCCTCTTCCATTTCTTCCTCTTTTTCATCGTAATCATTTGATAGGGAAGAGGTTAATTTATTTTTATTTTGTATTGAATTAACTAGAGAAGTGGAAATTGTAGCTGAATTATTATTGTTGGTATTTGAGTTGACACTTCTACCAACTTTTTTCTGAAAAATATTTTTTTTGGATTTTTAAAAACAATTTTTGAATTTACAAAAAATTATTTTGTTTGTATTTAGCTAATTAATTAAATTTAAATAATTTTTAATATGTATAAAAAATCAGATCTCTCTTGTAAGACTTCTGTTCGGAACGAACAGAAGAGAACCGAAGAACCAAGAATTTTTCGGCTCGATCCCAAATATCCGAAGATGCTTACATCCTTTATTTATACGATCTTTTTAAACTAGGTTACTCTAGAAAGGCCTTCATATTTAATGATTCCACACCGTAATTTTTTGCTAATTTTGGTTTACAATTGTCTAATCCAAATTCTCTTGTCTGAACTTCTGTATACCACATACGGAAGTTATTTTTAATTATTTTAAATTTATTATTCTACGATGTCATTTGTTCCCATTTTCTAATTTTCTTTAAATTAAAAAATAAAAATTCACTTGTTTCATTCTCCTGTTCTGAAACCAAGTTTTAACCTATAAAAATATTTCAATTAGAAAATCTATTAGAATAATTTACCTGTGTTTCACTCAAATTGAGTGATTCGGCAAGGCTTATACGCTCTGGAGTAGATAAATACCTTTGGCCATTAAAGCGTTGTTCTAGGCCTTTAAAATAAATTTTTTAAATAAAAATTTTTTTAAATTTTTTACCCTGTAGTTGATGATCAGAAAATACTGTCCGCGCCTTTCTCCGTCTATACGACTTGCTTGAATTAATAGAAGGCTGAGCAAAATCAAAAGCCGCAGAAAAGTTTGGGATTAAATTAGTGTTGATATTATCCTAGATATTTTTTATTTATTTTTTTTGAAATATTCCAATCAACCTTTCCCTGAGCTCCCGAAGCAGCCGCAGCAGCAAAAGCAGCGGCCAACCTCAAAGCTATACTTCCCCCTCCCCCTTCTTGAATTAAATTATTTTGGTGATTAAATAAAAGTCTTTGAGCTATTGCCCAGTCAATTTGAATTTGTTGTTGTGTTGAGATAGGGAAATCTTTTATTGTTTTTAAATTATCGGGAAGAGGAGGGGGATTGGTTGAATATAAGGATGTTGTTGTTGGGGTATTGACAGTTTTTGTTGTTGATGGTATTGAGTCGATGTAGGTATTGTTGTTGGTTAATGACTGAAATGAAAGGAGGGACTTCCTCATTTATCCAATAAAAGGAGGATTTCAAGTATGGATGCTTTATTACGAAGGGAGTTTAAGGGAAATTTGAATTTTCGAAATTTTATCCAAAAAAACGTTAGGGATGTGGATACCGATTAAAATTTGAATTTTCGATATTCCAATAAAATGACCTCACAATTCGTCATAACTCAATTTAAGTGAGCTTCAGTTTTATCCGCAACTATCTATCCGCAACAATTTTTATCTTTTCCGGATTCTTTCTTTTATTAAGATTACCTTATTCCCCTTCTGTTCACTTGTTTGATTTTCTTCTTTAATATTTCGTTGAGTAGAAATACTTGAGGGAATAATTAAACGTTCATCATCATTATTAACAACAATATTTCCCCTCTTAACAGGTGAAAGTAATTTAAAAATTGAAAATTCTTTTTTAGTTTTCCCCTCTTTATTTTTAATTTCTAAATTTGTATTTTCATCAATTTTTAATTGTTCTTCAGAATTTTTATAAATTAAATTTTGATTATTTTCTTGAGTAGGAATATTTAAATAAATTAAATCGTCAGCCATTAAATTCTTTTATTTGATTTGTAAATTGGAATTCTGAATTGTAAAATGTCTAAATAGTTAATTACCGTGTATACTCTATTAATTACCCTCCCTCAAATAATTACCCCGCCTCTATTAGTTGTCGATGACGAAATTGAAGAATTAAAGATTTGAAATATTTTTGATATTTTTTATTTTGTTTATTATTTTTGGAGGTGACTCAGTGAGTCACTTTCCATTTTTGACAATTTTTTATGTACTTTTTTGCAATGTACTTAACATTGCATCATTTTTTATATAGAAATTTTTGCCTATAAAAAGTAGGCAGAAATTTCACTTTTCAATGTCTTTTGAGATATTCATTTTTTTTAATATTCTGTGTGAATATTTATTTTGTTTGAAGATAAAGAATTTTAGTTGTGTTTGTGTTTATTTATTTAATTTGTTTTATCTAGTTAATTATTCCGAGGGAATAATTAATTTAAGATATTTTAATTCCCTATTAAAGAATAGGAAGGTGAAATAGTTTTCCCTAAGAAAGGGGAAAGTATTTTTACATTTGGTGCCACGACCCAACGGCGGGTTATTAAAGAAAAAGTTAGAAGAATAAATTGAAGAGCTATAGGCTCAATTGATTTATTGGAAGAGCCGTGAAAAGGAAAGGCTCAGTAAAAAAATATTATTGGAAGAGCTGAGATTTGGAAAGCTCGGTAAAAAAGGATTTAAAAAAGAGATTAATTGGGAAATATTGGAATAAAATAAATTAAAAGATGTCAGGAACGATTAGAAGTACTATTGCGCCATCCATAGTACGATTGAAAAAATACCTTGAAGAGGTAAGACCTATCATAGATGCCACTGAACGCACTGAAGAAGGAGTAGAGTTACTCCAAAGAATGGCAGTTAAAATCCGTAGGGCAATTAATTTCGTGGAAGAAAAAGTTGAAAAATGGGAAAAATATATTAAAGATTTACCGGCAAATGAAAGAGTTGCCGAAGAAGGTGTTTTTGCTAGATATGCCATAGAGGAACGGCATTTTTTAGAATGGATAGACTCAGGAAGAGAGGCTATCGATGACATAGAAATTGTTCTTGCTGAAGGTTCTGATGCTCGTAGTACGCAGTCAGAGATCTCAGAGGAAATAGGAGTTGGCTTAAATCGGACAAATGAAGTCCGCAGAAATATAAATGTAGAGCAAGTCCCAGTTAGAAGTGAGCAGGTGCTTCCACCTCATCTTCCGCGGACTAGACTGCCAGAATTTTATGGAGATACTCTACGTTGGCCTGAATTTTGGCAGGCTTTTGAGAGAACGGTGGATTGTTTGAATATTGATAACGGGCTAAAGGCCCACTATTTGATACAATGTCTTAGAGGTAAGGCAAAAAGGGCAATTTTGGGTTATAGGCCAATATCAGAACATTATGCGCCTTTGAAAGATGCTCTTATAAGACAATTCGGAAATGAAAAGGCAATTAGAGATACACTGCATGCCGAACTAATTAGCTTGCCAGTGGCTAACGAATCAATATGGTCTTTACGTTCATATCTCGAGGAGGTTGAACGAATTTGTAGATCATTGACTGCTATGGGGCAATTAGAAGATGAATCTATAGTTATGATGGCAATTAAGAATAAATTGCCAAGAAGTATTGTTCTAGAATTATTAAAAATGGAAAAATTGGAGAAAGTAAATTGGAGTGTAGGAAGATTAAGAGAAGGACTTGCAGAAATTGTGGCCTTAAGAGAAGAGGCACAAAGATGCACGAGGTCATTGGCATATAAAAATAGTTGGCAAAATGTGCCGAATCTTAATCAAAGGAGATTTAATGGAAACACAAATAATCAGAGAAAACCGGAACCTGCGCGTGTATTTACAGCGCCAAAGAACCAAAAAAGAGAAATTTCATGTTTGTTTTGCAATGGTCCACACTTAGCTGGAAATTGTAAGCAAGTCAGATTTATTGGACAGAGAATGAGCATTCTGTCTGAACAAAATAGATGTTTGATTTGTTTAAGGAAAGGCCATGCCAAAATAGATTGTAATGTGAAATATAGTTGTGGTATATGTAAAGGAGACCACAATAAAATAATCTGTCCTAAAGAAGTTGAAAAAGAAAAGAAAGGACAGATTAAGGAAAATGAAAGCGTTAATCAAATAAGTGAAAATATGCTTAATATTGATGATAACGGCGAAGATAATATTGTTTTGATGAAAGCAGATTTAATGTTAAAAGAGAGAAATAATAAAATAAATGCAAAATGCTTCTTTGATTCAGGAGCAACAGTTAATTTCTTATGTAATGAACTTGTTGAAAAATTAAAATTGAAAAAATTAAAAAGAACAGAATTAGGAGTTGTCCCATTTTTCAGAAAAGAGCCAATAAAGCTAAAAACTTCGTGTTATTCTTTAAAGGTTCTTCTTGATAATGGAAATTTTGAAGAAATAATAGTTTATAGTATTAATAAGAATTTGATGCCAAGATTTAGATGCGCAGACTTAAGAACAAATGAGATTGCTTGCGCAAATATAGTCCCTGATATGCTTATAGGTATGAAGCATTTCTGGAGGTTCTTTAAAAGAATAGAACCATTATCGGACTATCTATTTAAAGTTGAAACGACTGTAGGGCCAATAATTTGTGGCGAAATTAGCGGTGAAAAATTTAAAAGATTAAATAAAAAGGAAAATTTGTGTACTATATTAAGTTCTAACACTTTGGAAAATGAGGAACTTAACAATTATTGGTCATTAGAGACAATAGGAGTCAAAGATGATCCTGTGTGTAAAGATGATAAAGTTGCTTTAGATTTATTTAATAGTACGATTAAAAGAAATGAAAATGGAAGTTATATAGTAAAATGGCCATGGAAAATTGAGAAAGACAATTTGCCATCTAATTTTTCATTGGCATATAAAAGATTTCTAAATCTCATGGATAAATTAAAGAAAAATCCAGATTTATTAGATAAATACGAGGAAATAATTAATAATGATTTGAAAAGAGGTGTGATTGAAAAGGCTGAAAAGAAGAAAGGGGAAATAGAACATTTTCTGCCCCACCACCCTGTTATTAATACAAAAAAGGTGCGCATAGTTTATGATGCTTCCGCAAGAATGCGAGAAGGAAAAAGCTTAAATGAATGTTTATATCGAGGGCCAATAATTATGCCGGATTTAGCAGGATTATTAATTCGATTTAGAGTGCCAAAAATTGCCATGTGGGCTGATATTGAAAAGGCATTCCATACATTAGAATTGGAAGAAGAAGATAGAGAAGTGACTAAGTTTATATGGGTAAAAGATACGAAGAAACCCATATCAACCCAGAATATTCAATATCTAAGATTTGCAAAAGTTCCCTTTGGGGTAATCTCGAGTCCATTTTTGTTATCAGCGACTGTCAGACATCATTTAGAGAAGTGTGATGACCCTGTTGCAAAGATTGCTAAAGAAAATTCCTATGTGGATAATATATTTATTGGAGTAGAATCGGCCAATGAAGCTTGGCTCGCTTATAAAAGATTAAAAGAGATATTTAGAGATGCTCAAATGAATTTAAGAGAATTCATCAGTAATAATGTGGAGCTTAATGAAAGTTTCCCACTCGAAGATAGGCTGGAGAAGAATAAGCCTAAAATTTTGGGAATACCATGGGAAATATCTTCAGATAAGATAAATATTGTATTTCCAATAGTGAATTCGGCTGAAAGCGTGACTAGAAGAATAGTTCTTCGTGAATTAGCAAGCATGTTTGATCCATTAGGACTTGCTTCACCTAGTCTTTTATCTGCAAAATTATTCTTTCAGTCATTATGGACTAAAGAGAATAAGTGGGATGATAAAATTAGTAAGGAAAATGCAATGAAATGGATAGAAATCACTAGGTCATGGACACTAGATCCCATCGAGATTAATAGAAGAGTGACTGATATTAAAAGTGTAAAACAATTGCATGCATTTTCTGATGCATCTAAATGTGCTTATGCTGCTTGCATATACATAAAATCGGAATTTGAAGGAAAAATTCATACACAGATATTATATGCACGAAATCGTTTGAAACCTAGAAAATCAGAAGTAACAATACCACGCATGGAACTTTTAGGCGTGGTTATTGCTAAAAGAGCTTTAGAATTTGTAGAGAAACAAATCGGAGTTGAAATTAAAGATAAATTTTTATGGTGTGATTCAAAGCCGGTATTAAGCTGGATAAAGGCAGGAGGCAAAAATGAAAAATTTATAGAAAATAGAATAAATGAAATAAGAAAAAATAATGGAATTAAATTTGGATATGTTAATACGATTGATAATCCAGCAGATATAGCCACTCGCGGTATAATGGCATCTGAATTAGAAAAATGCCATATTTGGTGGGAAGGTCCTGATTGGTTAAAAAGGCCTGAAAATAATTGGCCAAATGAATTGAATTTTGAAATTGAAAAAGAAGATACTTGCGAAGAAGATAATCAGGAATTAATATTAAGTTGTTTAAATAAAAAGATAGATGAAGAAGATAATT